AAGTAGGAGCAATTGTGCCAATCTTTGTCCTGACTCTATTACAGTAATTCCTAAGGGGGAATGAATCATAATCTTGATTTCACCTTGATAGTCTGAATCTATCACTCCAGGAGCTACCAGAATTCCCTTCATGGTGACACTACTTCTTCCTAATACCAATCCCACCGTTCCTTTAGGCAATGGCCCATACACTCCTGTAGGTGTGGCTTGCATTCCTTAATATCTATATAATAGAGTACAGTAAATTGAGCTGGGGATAGTAAGGAGTGGTATGGATGTGGAAGGGGAGCTAAACACAAAGTATATGAAAATTGAAAAAATTCATTTAAAAAATTTTAATGTACAAAAAATAATGGGGATGCTGATTTTACTTTATTGTGTTGTATGCATCTGAATCTTATTTAACAAGCATATGTTACATTAGTAAAATATTGTGTGGACAAAACATACTCAATAAAGTGACCAAAGACAGACCACTAATGCCAGACACATGAATTTTTAAAAATTTTTGTTGAGTTTTTGTGTACTTCATACAGAACATCTCAGTCAATCTTAATCATCTTTATACCCTCTTCCTGATGGCAGCCTCCCATAGGAACCCCCCCTGGAATTCATATATTCTGTCATTTGCAAACACTTGATTTTAATGTTATCCAGTAGAAAACTGATTAACAAAGTTATTTAACATTGAAGTCTGACCTTGAATCTAGCACGTCAACAACAGACAACTGCATTACAATCTAGAGGAAGTTCTGTTCTGGGTACCTCCTAGGTGTTTGCCAAAGAAGGACAGAATTTGATTCCATGCATCTACCTGGGCTTTAGAGTGAGTCCTAACCTCCCCACCACATATCACAGCTTTGTTCACTAGTTTGTGCAGGGAAGCTGGGCACATGGGGAAGTAAGGAGGCTCAATGTAATGCCCATTCCCAGGGTAAAAGATTATCTGGGGCTTTCCTTTCCATGAGCCAGTAACCGTTCTGAGGCTATCTGAGTATATAACTCACTCCTCCAGCAAAGATCATCCTGACCAGCAATGAAGAGGATGGGCCCCTTGGTCCTCTCGATTGGAATCATACTGGGGTTCTCACACCCTCCTATAATATCATTCCATATGTCCACAATGTCCATAATGCCTGAGAAAGCAACCTTCGCTCTCCTCAAGTCATGGCCCAATGGTGGTATTATAGTCTGCTGGTAGTGTATGTGTCTGCTTCTACTGAATGCAGAGCCATTGATGGAAACTGTGGCTGAGACATTCTTCAAGAATGAAGCCATTGAGAGACAAACATCAGCTCCTAGAGAAATGCCCAGAAGCCCAATGCCTGGGCCCTTTACCTAGAAGGAAAGAAGAGACAAGAGTAAAGAGTGTGTGTGGCTAGGTGTACTAGAACATGCCTATAATCCCAACACTAGGAAGATGAAGGCAAGAGGATCAGGAGCTTAAGATCAGTCAATTATATAGAACATTCAAGGCCAGGCAAAGCTACATGAGATGCCATCTCAAAACACCAATAAGAAAAAAAGAGGGCTGATGAGATGGCTCAGAGGGTAAAGGCAATCACTTGCCACCAAGCCTGCTGGCCTGAGTTTGATTTCCAAGACCCACGTGGTGCAAGGAGAGAACCAACTATCTCAAGTTGTCTTCTCCATTGAGTGCCATGGAACACAAATACCCACACCCACACATGAAATAAATGTACTGTGCACACCTTTGATCCCAGCACTGAGGAGGTGGAGGCAGAAGCAGGTGGATCTCTGTGAGTTCAAGGCCAGCCTGGTCTACATAGTGTGCTCCAGGACAACTGTCTCAAAAAGACCAAAAAAAGAAAAGAATTTACCCAATACAAAAATACCTTTTTTTTTTTTTGGTCCTTTTAAGACAGTCTCCCTGTAGCCCCAGCTGGCCTGGAATTCCCTATGTGGACCAGGCTGTCCTCGACATCACAGAGATTCACCTGTTTCTGCCTCCCAAGTGCTGGGATTAAAGATGTGCACCATCATGCCAGGATGCCCCCTCCGTTTTGAGATAGAATTTTGCTTTGTGTCCTAGGGTGGCCTCAAATTCTCAAATCCTCCTGCCTCAGCCTCCCCAGTGCTGGAATTTTATGTGAGCCACCATGCAGGAATGGAAGTTTCTTCCCAAGTACTGAATATCTGATAAATACATAGCAAAGAAGCTTTAAACACACTTTAGATTTAGGAATTGGTTATAAATGTTCCAGAGAATCATCCACTAGGAAATGCTGAGTCATGGGAGTCTATCAAATTCAAGGCCTCATTCCTAGTGGATCTGATCCAAGTCTTTTTATATAGTTGGATTTTAAGCTGTGGTCTAAGATTTAATCATTCATCCAAGTTCAAGTAATATTGAAAAGCGATTAACTTCATAGAAACAAAGCAAGACTTCAAAATCTGATTCAGTTCTTAACTTCTGAAGGGGTTGGCCAAGTTCTGATCAAAATGTGAGCACATGCCATGGTATCAGAAAACTAAAGGTTAAAAAACAAGCATGCTTGTATAATACTAAGAAGCTTAGTCTATATTACGAGGGGTGTTTTTAGTAGTACGAAATGAAATTTCATATGAATTGAATTATGAGTTCTAAGACCCCACATGGTGGAAGGAGAGAATGAATCCATTTGACAAAGGGGAAATTATTAGACACTCAAAGTCAAGGAAGTTTCCCAAAGAAATTTCCTCTCTGAGAAAAGAACAGAGTGTAGAACCCTGAGACCCTCTTCATTCACCCGCTACCCCCCAATCCCTCCAGACCCCCACTAATTGCTCTTTTAGCTTCTGTAAAATGCTTGGCTGCTGCTTTAGACATGCCTAAACACACCCTGGCATGCCCTGACTCCCACCTGCTATTCCCCCCCTTCCAGGAAACTATAGATTAACCAAGCCCGAGCATAAAAACTGCCCTATAAGGTAAAAAAAGAGACTCCTGGCCCCACAGGTAACAGCACATTCCACAGCCCTGAGAATAGCACCTACCAATAAGAAACTTACAGGGCTGCATCTTATACATCCAATCGGTTTAAAATTATGTCGGCGCACGCAGGCTCCTTGAACCAACCAAAATGTATCTTCAGTATCCCCATGCTCTCTTTGTCTAAACCTATAAAAGTCTCCACTCTCCCTTACTCTGGGCTCTCAGCACGGATCCGTTGAGTTGGTGAGGTCTGAGAGCCCGAGCTTAAGCCCGAATAAACCATAAACCTTTGCTTTTGCATTTTGGTGTGTTGGGTTCTCAGTGGTCTCTTTGGGGTCCAGTGGATGGGGTACAACAAGAGCAATGCCAGTGCCCTGGTATAGGAGACCCTCTCTGTAGAACTATTCCCAGAGAGCCTCATTAAATAGAAGACAAGAAGAACCTGGGGGTGTTGGAGCATGTAGCACATGGCTTCTTCAAAGTAGTCCAGTTCCATGGTGTTGTATTCTTTAGGGAGATCTTCAAAGTCATAAAAAGCCAGAGCCAATGTGGCAAAGCCATGGCCAGCCACAAGGCTGGCTCGATATTCAAACAGGCCCCCTCTAAAACCAGAGATGTCAATGATCCCTGGGAAGGGTCTGAGTCCTACAGAAGGGGAGAGTACAAAAGGAGGGCATTATGCAGTCAAAAGGATTTGCTTTTCTTTTAGAAATCTCAATTATTTGGTTGGCTTCTAGGAATCAAATAAGGCTGATTCCTGTGTCACTGCTGAAAAGAGACACAGGAACTTTAGAATGAGAAGAGACTAGAGTGAGAAGAGACAGCTACATATGCAGCTCAACACAAAATCATAAATTTATGTAAAACAGATTTTATTTAAATTTTTATTTATTTTCATTTTATGTGTGTTTTGTCTGCATATATCTAAGTGCATCACATGAATGCAATGCCCATGGAGGCCAGAAGATGGCATCAGATCTTCTGGAACTAGAGTTACAGATAGTTGTTAGCCACCATGTGGGTGCTGGGAACCGAACCCAAATTCTCTGCAAGAGCAGCTAGTGCTCTTAACCACAGAGCCATCTCACCATTCCCTGGATTGATTTTTATTTTGTAAAACAATTGCATGAATTTTGTAAATGAATTTTGTAAATGACAATCTTAAAAGGTTGCACATTTCTAAATAATTCTATAAGTTGTTTGCATTCTTCTATAAATCAGTTGTTATGAGAGAAAATGCCAAACCTTTGGATAAGAACTACATTGTGGAAGGAGGATTACATGTTTCAGACTCTTGATTCATAGTGCTCTGTTGAAGAACTGGACACAAAATTAAGAATGGGAAGCTGGGGCTACAGAGATGGGTCAGAGGTTAAGAGAGCTTGCTGATCCTGCACAGGACTGCCTCCTGGGGTTCTCAAGATCCACCTCACAACCCATGTAACTACAGCTCCAGGGGCCTCCCTGGGCACTTGCACACATGAGGCATGGGTGCACACACAAACACACACAACTGGACGGGACGGAAAGCTGGATGTCCTGTGGCATTAACCCTCGTGTTTTCTGTGTATTGACATTTAGGATGTTTATGGAGAGAGTGAAAGAGTTGACCCTTGGTGAGGAAGGCACTGAAGTCTCAAGTGTGATCGATCTCTACTGGAGATTGGCATGACGAGGTAGAGAAAAAGGCCCAGAAAGCCCAGGACAGGAGAGAAAGGCAATGTGGCAATTTTCCCTAACCTATTCCTCCTGCTGGTTTCTCATCTGCCAATAACAGTACTCACCTCTTTGGGATAATGCAGAGATTAAATGAGAAAATGCAAACAAAAGGCAGGAAATAGATCTAACATAATCAAACCCCCCCCCCCAATGTGGCTGAGTGGCCACTAAATAGCCAACTGCTATACTATGAACCTGCTGAGGGGCGGGGCCCCAAGTCGAGCAGCCCCGGCTCACCTGGCAGCAGGAAGAACGTGGCGCACACCCGGTCCACCCACACCGGCACCCGCCGCACCCCCAGCAGCAGGAAGTGGCGCTCCTGCGCCGCCCAGGCCAGCAGCCACCCGCCGTCGGGCTCGTGGCCGTCCAGCACCCCCAGCTCCAGCACCAAGGGCTTCGGCACATCCCGCTTGAGCAGGTGCCAGAGAGGCCTGTCGGGCTCCAGGGCCCAGAGCAGCCCCATGGGCTCGAGCCCCACGGAGCTGCCGCCCAGCGCGGGCGCACGCGCCAGGTCCAGCTCGCCGCTGGCGTCGGCGCGGTAGCGCGTGTGGGCGCGGAAGAGCACGGCTTTCTCGTCGCTCAGGGCCGTGCGCAGCGTGAGGGGCTGCTCGGGGGTGAGTCTGCACATGGCGATGCGCCCAGGCTCGTCCCAGCAGCTGCGGCCGGTGGGCTCCAGGCTTAGGGTCGCCGCCATGCCGGGTTGGAGCTCGGGAGATGGAAGCCCACAAAGGCCGTGGGAGCGCCTCGCGAGTCCCGCGTGGAACCTGTCTTCCCGGGCTCCTGGGAGCGCTGGGTGGAGAGGCTGACCCTGTGGGTCTCCGAGGGTGACGAAGCCGAAGAGGCTGGGACTGAACCAGGCTCTGTCTGCAGGGTGGAGGCCAGAGCCAGGCCTGTCTCCACTCTCAAGTGTTGTGTCAGTTGGGTGGATTGGTGAGGACACCCAGTGAATGAGATCAAGGCAAAGTCCAGTCCTTGGGTGAACTCAGTAGCAGCTTGCTTTTAAAAAGGAAAATGGGTTGGAGAAATAGCTCAGAGGGTAAGAGCATTGACTGCTCTTGCAGAGGACCTGGGCTCGATTACCAGTACCCACATGACAGCTATGAACTGTCCTTTATGAGACTCTGACTCCTCTAACCGCTTCTCTCTGCTTCTGTAAATTGCTTGACTTAAAGGGTGCATTAACTCCATGTTGGCTGGCTTCTTCAGGTAAGCCCGGACAAGCCCAGGCATAGTGTAAACCTCCAGTTGACACACATGCGCGCACACACACCCTCCGGGGAGCTGTAGATCCAGCAGGCCCAGGCATGTAAAAGCCTTATAAGGTAAAAGCAGAAACATCTGGACCCCAGAGATAACAGCACATTCCAAAACCCTAAAGACAGCCCCTACCAATAAGAATCATCCCTGTACTCAGGACATAGGGCCATCCAATCATTTTAAAGGATGCTTGGCGTGAGCTGCTTCTGTGAAACTTCCCTATAAAAGCTTACCCTACTCTGGTTCGGGGCTCTCAGTAGGGATCCGTTGCATTGGTGAAATCTGAGGGCCCGAGCTTGAGCCCGAATAAAGGCTCTTTGCTTTTGCATACTCTCCAGACTCCTTGGTGGCCATTGGGGATTGTGAGATCTGGGTGCAACATTTGGGGACTCATCCAGGATCCCCAAGCCCCCACAGGACCCCCAGAGCATTGAGCCGGGTCCAGCGGTCAGTGTCTTTGTCCTCTTGTTTGTGTATTGTGCGCTCTTGATTTTGGGCCCCTTACTGTGTTAGCCTGTTGGCGGTCTAGGTGGTCATGCTGGAAGACCCCAGGCCGTGGGACTTGGGAGATGTCCCAGACCACCCAACAGGGATTGGATCCTGCTTGTGATTTTGAAGGGGTGAGGTGGGTGGCACCTGCTGAATGGCAAGAGGCTGATGTCCCACTTTGTGGGAAGCGAGCACGGCCGAGTCAGCCAAAGATGGCGCCTTGGCTGGCTGCCAAGACTCGTGCTGTTTACTTCAACTCTTGGCTGATTGCCAAGGCTCGTGCCCCTCGCTTGTTTACTCCAACTCCCTGAAGCATGATGAGCCCGAACATGTGCTGCCTGCCTGATGATCTTACTACGTGGCCCAATGAGCTGCCACTCTGCCTGCCCGCTATGCGTGTGTGTGCCCTGATTGGTCCTGGCTGGGGGGAGGGCTGTTGGAAACGCTATAT